ACAAAATATACAGGCAAACCAACATAATTAATTAGCTGTCACAGGCATACTTATTAAGAAAGACTCAGTCCCTACACCTTTCTCTGCCAAGATGCAATCTACACAATGTAGTGGTTTTTATATATAAATTGGGTAAGGTTTGTTATCACGAACAAGAATGTTTGGTGTGTCCAAAGCTACTGGTGACTCTGGAGCAGGGGTCTTCAAACTTGGCCTTTTTATGACTTGTGGACTTCAACTCCCAGAATTCCTCAACCAGGCATGTTGAAGTCCATGAGTCATAAAAGGGCCAAGTTTGAAGACCCCTGCTCTGGAGCAACTATCACTTGTATGTCTCTCTAGATTGATTCTGCAAACTATTATTTCTTATCTCTAGCTCATCAATATGTGTCTCCATATATTATGAGGAGCAGTTTCTATGATACAAGAGAGAAGACCATTTGTTTTTTTTTTATCAGTCTGGTTCTTCTTTATAGTCTTTTGCCAACCCAATAGAAATTGTTATCTTTCTGCCTGAGAGGATTGCTGAACTTGCTGCATGACAAACTTGCTTGCTTGTCCTGAATGCTTCTTCTTGAATTAGGCTTCAGAAGGCACAGCCTGGAATGTAAGGTTTAACTAAAGCAATATTGTTGGTGCTTTGTGTGTTGGATACACTGTGTTGCAATAGAAAGAACAAGAAGTCTGAAAAGTTTTGATTCAATATGACATTTTCTCCAAACGTCTGTTGCAAAGCAATCTTGAAAATCTGAACAATTTTTTGGGTCATCCTATTATAGTTTGCTGATACACTGCTGATGTTATAGGTTGGATTTCATTCCTTTTCAGAAGTCTTTGAACTCTTCAGTTACACATTATTGTGTAAGTTATATAGTCATCAATTGTCATGGTGCAGCTGTTCTCATGGGCATATATTGCAATGGATCTATAATATGTGGGTGTTGTTGAAGTCATTAGAAATATCTGTGGCTATTCTGAACATGCATCCATAATTAAGAAACCCTTAAATGGTCCTACAGAGTTTATATGAAACATACCTCACTCAGGAGAAGTGCATTTTCTGCTGCTTGCTTTATGGGATCTTCCAGAAAAATGAACCCCACTGGATCTACAAGAGTTACAACATCTACAGGCAATCCAAGAATGCTGGATTATAGCCACGCTTAGTCACTCAGTAGTCCTAGTAACCCGATCTACTCTCATTACTATTTGTTAGCATTCATATACTGTTTCCTGGTGGAAAGATGAGGTACTGTATGTTGTTGTAAGAGTCACTTCAACAAACTTAAAATGTTGGTCAATGACGTTATTTCGATTCTGAAGTATGGGATAGAACTGCCTCTAAAATTACAGTGATTTTCAATGACTAGGGTATCAAGGACTTGCATACGACAACTCCCAACTTCTATAGGCATGTCTGCCAGCAGTGTTTTAAGTTCTTGGTTTGGCATCACATGTAGGCTTAAAAAAAATATCTTTCATAATGCCTAGATGTAGAAATTGAAGGTCAGGCTGTGCAACTCACACTAATTGGTAGTTGCTGTGTTGATCAGCAAAGGCCAAAGCATCCTAGGTTTTTGGATTATCTCCCTGAATTAAGAACTGGTTTGATGGTCTCCAAATTCATTGACCCAGGGCTTTTTTTTGTCATAGAACGACCAGAATGGAGTTCCGGCACCTTTTTTGGATGGAACCTTGTAGGGTAGGCAAGGCAGGTTGTATGATGTGTGTGAGTTCCGGCACCTTTTTTTTTTTTTTTTTTACACTGCACTGCATTGACCCATCTGCGCCACACTGGGATATCCCTTTATCACCATTCAGAAAATATTATGGGATACCAGAGAGGAAGAAACTGGATCCAGAGAAAATAGTTTAGTAGAGATGATGCTGTTAATTCCAAACTTTCAAAAGGAGCACTTCTATATCTCTTGCTGCTAATTATCTCCAAGAAAAAGCAAGCTTAACCATCCAATACCTTATTTTTTAACTCAGATTGAAATCGGACGTTGAAATTGGAGAAATGAAATTGCTGGCTGACGTTCATTAGGTTTTCTCTCGGTGTTTCTTTCCTTAACACACAAAGATATTTTCATCTCAGTGACCTTTCAGTAGGTTATGTCTCTAATTTTAAGTGGCAATATCTTTTCCTTCAGCTGCATTCTTTATTGCTTTTAGTTCTGTGGAAATGTCTCCTAATTCTGATATGCAGTTTTATGATTATGTGAAATGCAGCAAGGGCGGCTTTCAGTGACAGTAGTAGAATATCTATTCCTCTTCTGATGTCGATATTTTTATTTCGTTGTGCCACGGAACAGAACAGAGGGACCAGAAGCGGAGAATGGGCATGCAAGCTATACGTCTCGAACTTGAAAAATTAGACTCTACTCTTTTCTTTGGACTTGAGAAAGAAAACATTCAATAGCCATTTTATTCTCTTAATCAATCTTAACCTGGCATGCAGGGAAGGAAATGGCAGCAGATGCTCTTCCTAAGACCACTTGGATTAGTTTCAAAAATTAAGTTGCAATTTTCCCTTGGTGGGGGCAGAAATTCTAAGATAATGGCTGGATTAATTTGAAATTAGTTTGAATGAGCTTATGTGGCTCTATTTTTTCTCTCTGCAAAATTCTCCACGATAGTATGCAGCAATAAAGAAACGTTGGTTTTGCCAGATTTAATGGAGTTTTATTTTTCATCTTGATTGCTTCTTTTAGTTATATTTTAAAGCCATTTAACATGTACCTTGAAAGGCAGTGAATAAAGAATCCAAATTAATTAGACTATAACGTAAGGTAAAATAATGCAGACCCACAGTACAGTGGCTTAAGTGACAACCATTCGCTCAGTGACTGTTCAAAGTTACAACAGTATTGAAAAAAGTGAGTTATGACTGGTTTTCACACTTGTGACCATTGCAGCATCCCATGGTCACATGATCTAAATTCGGGTGCTTGGCAACTAGCATATATTTATGATAGTTGCACTGCTTTGAGATCCTGTGATTACCATTTGTAACCTTCCTAGTTGGCCTTCGACAATGGGGAAAGCCAGGTTCATTTAATAACTGCAGCAATTTGCTTAACAACTGTGGGGAAAAAGGTTGCAAAATGAGGTGCAACTCACTTAAGAACTGCCTCACTTAGTAATGGAAATTTTGAGCTCAATTGTAGTGGTAAGTCAAGGACTACCTGTACATCACCCAACTATATCCATACACCACATAAAGCCCCATTTACAGCACTTGAATTCTTGGTGCTCTCTGAACTTGGATCTTTCCCCCATGATTTTCAATCAGTTCTTCTTGTATTCTACTTTCTTGCCCATCCCAGATTCCCCTCTGCCCAGTTTTTTAAACTTCTCCAAGTCACATAAGAGGTGTGATGGCACAGTGGTTAGAATGCAGTACTGCAGGCTAATCCTGCCAATTGCCAGCAGTTCAATTCTCACCGGCTCAAGGTTGACTCAGCCATCCATCTTTCCGAGGTGGGTAAAATGAGGACCCAGATTGTTGGGGGCAATAGGCTGATTCTGTAAACTGCTTAGAGAGGGTTGTAAAGCACTGTGAAGTGGTATATAAATCTAAGTGCTATTGCTATTGCTATCCTTCCAAGGTTGGTAAAATGAGGACTCAGATTGTTGGGGGCAATATGATGACTGTATAAACTGTTTATAGAGGGTTATAAAGCACTATCAAGTGGTATATAAGTCTAAGTGCTCTTGCTATTATTATAAGCACTCCAAATATTTTCGTTCTGCCAACTATGCTCTACTTTGCTCTGCTCTACTATGAGGCACCTCCTCCAGATGGTAGCTGTTGGAGATCAACAATGACTACCCTCCAACTTCACCCAAGCTCCCTAAGCCTTCTTCTCTGCAGCATAAAGGTATTCCTCAACTTACAACCATTAGTTTAATGACTGTTCGAAGTTACAATGGTACTGAAAGAGGTAACATGAATATTTTTCACACATACAATTGTTGCAGCCTTCCCATGATCACATGAGCAACCGGTTCTTATTTATGAAGTTTGCAGTGTCCTGGGGTCACGTGACCACCTTTTGTGACCTTCTGACCAGCAGAGTCAATGGTGAAGCCGGATTCACTTAAGGACCGTGTTACTAACTTAACAACTGCAGTGATTCACTTACAACTGTGGCAAAGAAAGGTCGTAAAATGCAATAAAGCTCACTTAACAACTCTTTTGCTTAGCAACAGAAATTTGGAACTCAATTCTGGTCATAAGTTGAAGTCTACTTGTATGCTATGTGATCTTTCTTAAGCCAGTCAAACATCTCAAAAATGGAAGATGCTATTACATCAGCTATTATTCCAGTCACATTCTTGAATAGGGAAAGAATGCCACCTAGACTTTTGCTCCAAGCATGAAAATATCACCAGTTGGCCCTGGTAATAGAGCCATCCTGTCTTGCCTCCCCCCCCTCCTTTTTTTTTTTAAACCAGGTAATCATAAGTAGCTGAAAGCAAATGTTGACCTCCAATGATCTTCTAATTCTTATTTTCTGAGCACAACAGTTAGTCCTCGACGTACAATAGTAACCGTTCAAAGTTACAACGGCATTGAAAATGGGACTTGTGACCGTTTTTCACACTTACGACCATTGTAGCATCCCTGAGGTCATGTGATCAAAATTTGGACACCGGGCAACTGGTTCATATTTAGGGCAGTTGCCATGTCCCAGAGTCCTGTGATCACCTTTTCCCAACCTTCTGACAAACAAAGTCAACGGGGAAGTCAGATTCAATTAAAACTGTGTCAATGGCTTGGCAACTGCAGTGATTCACTTAACAGCCAGAAAGTTCATGAAAGGAGGTAAAACTCATTTAACAACTGTCTCACTTAGCAACAGAAATTTTGGGCTCCATTGTGGCCATAAGTCGAGGACTACCTACATATTCAGAGACGTGTCAGGGAATAACAAGGAAAGATTGCCAGAGTACTCCAGCTTATTCCAACTCCAAGTGTCAGCAAACCAACTTACAGTAAATGAGAGGAAAGAAGAAAACAAGGTCCCTTCATCATATCTTGATAGCTTGGCCAGCACACCTTCCAGGATGGTGACAAACTGAAAAAAAGAAAGAAAGAAAGAGAAATTTCAACCAGAGATAAAAGAAATAAATCCTAAATCTCTCATGTTGCATGTGCGCGCGTGCACACACACACACACACACACACACACACACACACACACACGACAAGAAGCTCTTCTTCATCAAATCATGACAACTGAGGAAGCCAGCAGTCTATTGGTGTAAATGGGATTTTATAAATCTATCCTCAGTTTTCTAAGTAGGACAATTGCTCAAATGGGTGTTAACTGATACCCTTAGATTAAAAAAATACTCATTCTCTAATTAATAGAGTAATCAATTGCAAAAGAGAAGCCAATATGTCCTTATTAAAGGAACGTATTGATTATTATGGGTTTTTCTGGCATTTAATGCTATTATTGCATAAGATTATTTAATTGACCTTTAATAATAGTTCCATATAATTGGAATGACTTCATAAAACAAAGGACAGTCAACCCTGTTTTTTTGGCATCAGTTCAAGTGCACATAGATTAACTGTTACTATAAACAGACTTTGAAGAAGACAATGTGGGGCATTTGTAACACCTATTAGTTTATGAGATTAATAATTATAAACAAAGTAAATAACTTTTTTTTTACCTTTAAAGCAAAACACTGATGAAATTAAATGGCTTGTCATGACCTGATTATACTTGCCAGTATAAGAATTTTTTCAAGCAATGGTTTTTCCCAGTAACAATTCCTGATTGGAATTAGAATTAGTATACGAGGGGTCTTTGCTGTTCTCTGAGTTTGGTTATTTCCTTGTAGACATTTCATTATCCAAACTTGATAACATCATCAGTGCAATAGTTTGGGTAATGAAATGTCGGCAAGAAAACAACCAAACCCAGAGAGTATCAAGGACCTCACAGTTCAACTCTGAGCTATAAATATTCTTCTTTATTGGTAGAATTAGTATATGCCATTACTGATATAAAAACTGCCTTCTGCTCTACAGATGGTTGTAGAAGCCTTACATTTATTGATTTCCTAGAACCCTTTTACCTTTTTCTCCCACATGACTTTCATTAAGTTCAGCCACATTATTCCAATGTAATGGCAGAATTTATAAACTTCTACTAATGTGGTAGACATGGCAAATGGCTAGATCTGAATTATGGGGGTGTTCATCAAGCATTCCTCTTTGATGGCTTTAAAATAAATGTATTAAAGATTCACAAGGAGCATAAAGAATGCATTGTTTTAGAACAATGATGACGAACCTTTTAGAGACCGAGTGCCCAAACTGCAACCCAAAACCCATTTATGCAGCGTTGGGTGCTGGGTGGGTGTGGCCCATTGGCTGGGCGTGGCCCATTGGCTGGGCGTGGCTGCTGTGGTAACGGCAGACTGGGTGGGACTAAAAAGTTCAATCAATCAATTCCAACTTTGCAAGATCTTTTTTTTCCCACAAGAAGTTGAAATTGATTGATTGATTGAAACTTTTTATTTTTTGCACACGGCGGTGGAGGCCTAAAGTGAAAAGGTTTTATAAAACCCAGCTAGGACTGGACTGGGGCAATGGTGTGCGTGCCCACAGAGAGGGCTCTGAGTGCCGCCTCTGGCACCCGTGCCACAGGTTCGCCACCACTGTTTTAGAACATCTTAGTATTTACACCAGGCCCATTTCCTCTTGTGACAGGGTGAAATTACTGAGGGAATTACCAAGTACTGGGGAATGAATAAGTAAGAGGAACAAAAATTATACATATATCACAAAATGGTCCAAGCCTACAAAACATACATACACTGCAGTACACTAGAATATATACTTTAAATCCAATCAATAAAAGGATACACTAAATCTTAAAAGTCATAAATAATATTTTATAAACCACTGGTAGTGGATTTTGAGGACATGGACGAGATGCCCAAAGAGGTGAGATCTACAACTTGTCAAATTTATTTATTTACTATTTCAATTTATATACCTCCCCATTTCAAATATATGACTCTCTCTGGCTCGCAATTTCTATTGATTTTTTCTGGCTGACTAAATCAGTCTAAGTGGCTCTATGATTAACGAATGTCTTCCTATGGGAAGGGATTTTTTCCCCCATCTTGCTTAAAGGAAGCAGTAAAGAAAGCAAAGTTCCTTAAGCAAATACTTTTGCTAAAGTTTTTGAAAAGAGACATCACAACTGCAGAATGTAAGTATAAAACTACTGAAAGTAAAAGTGAATAAAGTCAGCCACACTGCCTCAAGAACTACAGTATTTGGGGGGGGGGGGGGAATCCCAAATAAAACTTCTTCCAGAATTGTAAAATGTCTTGCTTCATTATCTTGGCTGCGAACCTTGCTTCCCCTAAACATGGTAATTGGAATGAGCTGATAGTTCATGAGTTTTGGGGACCCAAAGAGATTTGTATGGATTTATATGGAAAATTCAGTGTGTGTTCAAGTGAGAAGGTAGAGAGAAGTGGTAGTTTGAGTTGGAGAAAAAAATTGTGCAGTTTTGTGTATTGGGAAGTTTAGGGGAACACCCAAAGATCAGGGATGTCCACTCAGAGGTCAGGTTCTCCACAGCAACCTCAGCATTTTAAGACTGTCAAGGACCAGTGAAGAACAAACAACCAGCAATCTTGAAGATATAATCTAAAACTACAAGTTACATCTATATTGTGATCCATTAACTGTAATTGAACACAGTTAGTCCTTGACTTATAAACAGTCACTTAGCCCCCCCCCAAAAAGGCATAACTTGGATTCAAAGTTCCGATGGCCAGCACCCACATAACACCATGGTCACATGATCACATTTTGGCAACCAGCCCACACTTATAGCCATTTGCAGCATGACTGTCATTTATGCATTTTTTTTTTGCCGGAAACCTATATCTATATCCAGTTTCCAGAAAAAAAAGCACCCATGGTGGACAATGGATTCCTTTAAGAATTGGTAATATTAATATATATATATATATAGAATAGAAATAAGATTACAAACCTAATCCAAAAAGAAACCCCCACTAAAATCCAAGACAAAGAACAAGAAAACGGCAAAGCCCTCCTCCCATACATAAAAGGCACCACAGACAGAATCAGTAAGATCCTCCATAAACACAACATCAAAACAGCATTCTGCACAAACAGAAAAATATCCACCATCCTTATAAACCCCAAAGATAAAATTGAATTAGAAAATCAAGGAGTATACGAAATCCCATGCACCACTTGTCCCACCACATACATCGGACAAACCAACAGAAGAATAAGTGCACGCATTGAAAAACATAAGAACTCAGTCAAAAAAGAGGACCCAACATCTTCCCTGGTCCAACACCTTAAAGCCACAGGACATGAAATTGACTTTAAAAATACCAGAACCATTGCCAAAAGTGAACATTTTAATAACAGAATAATCAGAGAAGCCATCGAGATAGAAAAACGCCCACACAGCATGAACACGTGAGATGATACCTCCCGCCTACCAGCCATTTGGAAACCCGCCCTTATTGACAAACGACTCCCTAACACAAAAAATGATACCAGACCCACACTCACAAAAACCACACAGGAGGTCACCACCACACATCCACGCAAAAAGCAAACCCAAAGCCACACCAATGATGAGGCACAACCACAAACCAGAAGCCAGACCACAGCTGCATCATTAGCCACTTTAAACCCCTCCAATCCATACATGAAGCAAACTGACACCCTCCATGAAGATGAAGCACGACCACGAACGCGAAGCCAAAAAATAGCAAGGCAGCCCAAAATCTTAACCCCCCCTGCAACTCAGACTAACCTGAGCACAACCAAACAGAACACTCCCCCAGCCAATCAGAGCACAGCCAACCCCCCAGCCAATCAAAGCACAGCCAACCCCCCAGCCAATCAGAGCACAGCCAAGCCCCTAACCAATCAGAACACACCTCCACCCAATCAGAACACAGCCAAGCTCCCACCCAATCAGTTCATACCCCCCACTGGCAGTTAAAAGGAAGAAACAGCTAAGACCACACATTGCTGCTTGAAGCACGAAGCTGAAAACACCAGCCTGAAGATGACGAATGGGACTTCGTCGAAACATCGCCAAGACACTTCCAATTTTATGCGGGAGAAAATCCGAACAACCAAAGACCTATATACAAATACCCGCGAAAACCTCAGAATATATATATATATATATATATATATATATATATATATATATATATATATATGCAGGTCTTGGCGTATTCGGGTAATGACTGGCATGACTTTCAGTCATAATTCTGGATTCAATTATCATAACAAGTTGAGGACTACCTGTACCTTTTTCCTGCTCCATTTTAAGCACATGACAATCATGAGACATTCAATCTATCAAGACTAAGTAGAGTTAGATTTCTTTCATGACAAACAACAAATCACCTATTTGTCTTAAATGTGTCACATTTGTATGGGAATGCGTGTGCATTCCCTTTAAAGGATAATTATTAACCATGAATCCCTTCACCTGAGGTTGAATGTTACCTTTGCTACAAGAAGTGTTATCATTTCTTTGACGGTTTCTTCAATTAGTTCATCTATTTTTGAATGGTACTGGTGCTACGGATGGAAGAAGAATGGAAGTAAAATATTATTAGTGTAAATCAATTGCAATACACATAGCTATTTACTTTTATGGCAGATATTGACTATGGTACTTCAATGTTGATTAACATGTGTTCTAATGTAGTGGCCAGTAATGAATTAACATATACACAATGCCTTTGACTAAGGAGCCTCTGACAGGAATTTGTGAATGTTGGTCAAATCCTAATTTTGATTTCGTGCATGCAGCTGAGCCAACATTAAGGAGAATCAAATGCATGCAGGATAAACATCTAGCATCTCTTTGCTATACGAAAATCATGAAAATAAGGAAGCGCCAGTGGAAAAACAGCATATTACATCTGCTGTTCACAGTTTACGGTCGAGATGCTCGTTCTTTAAGTCTGAAATAACAACTTGAAATACAGCTCAACACTGGCTAGCACACGGCAGCTATTTTGGGGCACAGAGCAAAGCTGTTGTGTCAGAGGAAACCTATAGATGAGTGACACTGAAGCAGAGAAGCTTCAGTATATGGAGCCATCGAGTATGAACTACTGGAAGCAGAACATCAGTTTTAGAATCCACCTTTGGAAAGGAAATTAGATAGGTACGTAGCATTCCAATTCAGGTGCTGGTTAAGCACTCGAGAAAATTGGGGCCTTTATGACCAAGTGTAACAATGATTGAGACATGGGTGTTCTGAGTCATGCAAAAGATGGCAAATGCAAGTACTGGGACCCCTCCAGTTAGGTCATGCTGGGGCCTTCGGTCAATGCCAACTCATAGAAAAGATTGACACCAACAAAACATCCACGTCACTTTCTACACAGAGTTCCTCCCCCCCCACACCCACCATGTTCCTCCACCCAAATACTGACCAGATCAAACTTACTTTGTTCTGAGTTGTTTTCAAGGAAGATAAGAACATTTTCAGCTAATTTGCAATAAACATACTTCCTTTTTCTTAAAAAAAGTAAAGTCTTTGGGTGACTAAACAAACACTATGTCGTATTCTTTTGTTTTGCCAAAAACAGACAAAATATTTAATATATGATGATTTTCTTCCACATCGCCTCTCCCCCACATTAAATAAAACATTGAAAGTGCTGATCTTAGTCACTGTATTTATTGCCACTTGTTTGTGCTAATGTTATTTTAAAATGTTAATATACAAGCAAAAAGAAATCTAAAATACGAAAAGAAAAAAAAATCAAACCAAAACAAAAAAGCATTAGAATAATAGATCTGCGGTAAATACTAAATTGTGCTTTAGGGAACAAAGGAGTGTGAGGGGCAATTAGAAGTGTCAGACCTTGGTCCCTTAGCATTGACTAAAGTTCCTTTGCTAGTTTGAGCTGCTCAGTGTTTGCTTTTTTTTTTTTTTTTTCCTTAATGGAACAGTCACATTCTACAACAGGAAGTTGGAAGAAAAAAAAAACAAAACGTAAGGACACACTTACCCACTCTTTAGCAAACTTTCAGATGATTGGGGACAGAAATAAAGAGGAAGGTGCAGAAGACAGGAAAAAGAACATATGAAGGTAAACAATAAATAAAAACAAAACCTTCAAAAGAATGGGACCGTATAAACAGGGGGCTATGAAAATGCAGCGGCATGCACAGAAACAATAAGCAACAGGAAATGAAATTATGAATAAATTCCCTTTTTTTCCTGAAATACCAGAGAGATTGCTACTGGAGAGAATCACGCAGAAATTCAAAAAGGGTTTTTGAAAAGGGAACAGGACACATACATAGAACATCCTAGTGAGACAGAGAAATATCATTTTGTTACAACTGAAAACAAAACAAAAAAAAGACCATATGAACAGTGCAGTGGCGTGGCAGCTGCTTTTTTTTTTTTTTTGGAGTTTCAACGGGCAGACTTATTAAGCTCTCTTGCTCACTGGATTTTATGATAATGACACTTGGAAACAGAGATGCTCCCAAAATGAAAGGAGCTTTCCTGACTCACTTTGTACTTCAAAATCAAATCGGTTCTTGGCTGTTCTAGTTACCAGCTGTAATTAACATTTAAGTCACCATCATAGCGTAATCTTACACCAATTGAGTTCACTAATGGCTTAGTTGTTTTTAGGGATTTGGTGGCTTATCTGATGCATAATCTCCAGATCTGAGATATGGCTAAAGGAAAGATAAAACTTTCTGTTCAAATGGGATGCAGAGCACCCAATGCCATACTTTCACTGATGGCCCCTTCATGCTTTGTAGAACTACACAATTGGGATGAAAAAGAGGAGAGATGTGTCAAGAGTCCAAGACTACCTTTTAGGCTGTATCTATAGCAGGGCTGTCCAAACTTGGCAACATGTGGACTTGTGGTCTTCAACTCTCAGAATTCTGGGAGTTGAAGTCCACAGGTCTTAAAATTGCCAAGGTTGGATACCTTCATCTACACATTCAATAGAATCAGATGGTAGAGATCCAGATAATAGAGCAACCAACACCACCTTACTCTGAAGGGGTTTTTATATGTCTGCCTAATGAAATAAAAGAAAAACCTGCAGGTAGAGAACCAACTGAACTGATCAAGAACCTTTGCTCAATAACAGAACAGATACATTTTATGCAAAAGCTTCCAGGTTTTAGTCTTTAAATTTCCAGTAAAAGGAGAACCAGAAACCCTGGGAAAATCCCTGCCAAAAGGAAATGAGCGGAAAGAAAGGCTCCGTGTCTGAGTTCCTCTCAGCTGCCACCAAACAAAATGGCAAACTATGTGATTGGCATAAGGTGCTTTCCTGTCTATCTTTTCTCCCAATAAGGTGAAGCAAAGATCTCTTTTACTTACAGGTTAAAGCTGTAGAGCTCGTTCTACCATGGTAGGACTCTACCACCCCATTCAATTGGCTGTGTACATTTGGACTAAACTGCACAGGTGTGTTCTAGATGCATTGGGGCATGGAAGTGTGTGTAGAAATGGGTGGGGAGAAGCAAGTCAGCATTATTTAAAGTGTGCCTGGGCACGCATGCACCAATAATGGCACAGAAGTGCTGGAGAGGTTAGGAAAGACAGTGCTTACAACCTACAGCAAGGTGGGGAAATCAACAAAGGATGCAAGGAAAAGCAGCAGCAATTTGAAATCCCACCTAGTGCTTGCTTCTGCCTCCTTTCTTTATATCAAGGCCTAAAGACAGAGACTTGGGGATTGTTCCCATCCATTCTTTGAAGAAAGCTGCTAGGTTGGTCCAAATTAGCTGGGAAGCACCGACAGACCTCCTTTGGCACAGGAGCGGTGAGGACAGTCAGGAAGCAGCCTTGCTAGAAAGGTACTTTCCCAATTTGTGCTAGGATTAGAAGCCCACATACATCCTCCTTGGACCCCCATCTTCTAAACAGGTTATTTCACGTGCAACCCCCTCCTCCTCTTTCTCTAGCAGCCACAGCCACTTTTGCAGATATTTCCCCTGGAAGGTGGGATGCGGGCAGTGCTGCTGGGAAGTCACATGCCACATCATGAAGAACGTGCTCAACAGAACAATTGCTGAGACCCACAAAGCCATATATGTGTTCTGCCGAATGGGATCCTTTGAGAGACTGAGACGTACTACCCACTAAGTACAGAATGAAGCTTGCAACTGGACATCATGCACACTAGGGGAGCTAGGTTGGCCAATTCACCATTTAGAAAGCACACCAAGGCAAAACTATCTTTTTGGGGTACAATACTGTATACACCCAAATCTGGCACAGTCTGCCCCTAATGCATGCACGGGAATGGGCTCCTTTTACATGCATGGTAGGCTGAGCAGAAAGACATCCAAGAACGTGCAAGTTGGACATTTCCAAAAATGCACCAATGCTTTTGAAAATGCAGTCCATGAGAAATGGTGGCAAAGTGTAGAATTTAAAAGAAAATATTCTCTCAACTGGTTCCTAGCCCCCTCCCCATCGGGTTTTGCATATAAGTCCAAAGACATGCTTAATTTGCCACATTATCATATTGTTTTAATCAAGAACTTTTGTTTGTTGGAGATGAGGAAGGGTGACAATTCTCATGCTAGTGTTCATTTTTGTTGGATAAATTATGAGTTTTAACTAAAATGATGGCCAGGTGTGTGCAAAATAATACAGTGTGAAATGTATTGACAAATATATTTTCAATTAAAATCTTGTTTACAGTGCAAATAAGAATGGCAGCAGGCACAGCAGCACTAGAATGGAGCCAGAAAGATTAAACCTCAAAGTTCCTCATCCTGGCAAGTACTATTGAAACAAACAGAACTTATGCTGGTGGAATTGAACAGGAAGATTAAATCTTTAGGGAGAGAAATAGCTCTGACCTTCGGAAAGCAAAGCAAGCACTACATCTTGTCTCCAAATATTTCTTCTGAATTAATTGAGAAGATGGGCCAACAAGTTCATGTTCACTGAAGTTAAATTTTACTCAGAATTAATAATAATTAATCAGAATTATTATTAGAATAAAATAGAGCTGGAAGGGACCTTGGAGGTCTTCTAGTCCAGCCCCCTGCTCAAGCAGGAGAATCTATACTATTTCAGACAAGTGACTGTCTAGTCTCTTCTTAAAACTTCCATGATGGAGCGCCCACGATTTCTGGAGGCAAGCTCTTCCACTGGTTAATTGTCCTCACTGTTAGGAAGTTTCTCCTTAATTCCAGGTTGCTTCCCTCTTTGGACAGTTTCAGATTCTATCGTGTTATAGAACAAGATTACTGTCTTCCATATGTTTCTTTACACTCACTTATAAATCAATATTTAAATCAGTGCTGTGTCCTTTCGATTTATGGGATTGTAGTATAAAGATATTGGGTTTCTGGCTAATCTTACAGCAAAAGATATCTTAAAAGAACTTTGACATCTTATTCCCTCTCTAGTTTCATCACAGTTTAATGTGGATGATAGGGATTAATGTATGGTGTGGATGTGGATTAATAAATGGAAGATTTTGTTGTTGGCAGACATTGAAATGGTGAATGCCTAATGATTGCTTTTCAGGTTCCCATTGACAGAGATTTTATGGCTGTTCAAACATTCCTGCAACTAAGCATCTATTGCTTCATTTGGCATTAGTACACGCTCCCATCATATTGAGCACATAACAAGTCAGCTTCTTCACACGTGTTGGAGAGGTGGCCTGCAAAACTCTCATTCCAATATATTGTGACTATTTTGGCTAGACTTTGATAGGAACTGGGAAATGTCACAAGAAAAGGGGAAAGCTGTGGCAAGGCAGACGGACTCTAACTTGCATATGCTAAACTAACTTGGTTGTCAACAAATCCATAGAATTCACAGTGGGGAATTCAGACACGTTAAGAACATGACTGGTTCTTGTGTTTTGTTTATTGAAAACAGTGAAGGAGGAAATAAGGAAACTATTTAGTTTGACTGAAGACAAAGGGGTTAAACTTGTCTTAATCTGAAAACCTCCTCTTTTATAAGACACCGCCATGAAAAGGACAATCATTTAATGCCATATCTATTTTGATTCTTAGATTATTTGTCCAGCTCCATGTGGTCTATTTGTCGCTCCTAACTTGGCATCCTCCAGATGTATTGTGACAACTTCCAAACTGTGCAAGTCCCAACATATCTAGGAATTGGGGAATTAGGGAAGGTTACTCTGGCCTTAAAATATCTCCTTCAGAATCTTTCCATCATATACCATCTGATCACTGTCTCTAGATGGAGCAGGGATTGAATTTGGGATCTCTGAATGGCAAGCATCTGCTCCACCCTTAAGCTATAGATAAGCTCTAAGCTTCCTAAGTCTGGATGACAGTATTTTAATTAGAGTAAGAACATCCTTTTCCATGAGTGATTTTCAAAGATACATTAATGGCAACCCTGCAGCAGAGAGTTATATAACATACTTGTCTCTGTGGAATCAAAGTCTCCAGTGAAAATATGGAACAAGTCATTCAGGAGAGGTGGGGAACCTAAGAGTTGTGCAGTGAATTGGTAAATGCTAATACTACCTTCTGCTGTGTTCACCTAAGAGCACCCACACAAGAAACAGCATAAGATGGGAGAAAGTCAACAAGCATAGCCGTAGGTTGTCCATGACCCTGCCACTCCTACATTGCTATTTTACTCCAGATATCTGAAAATGAATTTGTTGAGTTTGCTCTGAATTGTGGGATCCTTGGTGCTTCCGAGCTTGATTGTTTTCTTGCAGATGTTTCATTATCCAAACTAGATGACATCATCACTGCTGACTAGGTAATGAAACATCTGCAAGAAAACAATGAAGCTCGGAGAGCACCAAGGATCCCCCATTTTAACCCTGAGCTACAAGTATTCTCCTTTAGCATTGGTGCTGCCATCTGCTTCAGAATTGGTGACCTCGTATGCTGATGTTTCCCATTGTGCAGGCTAGCTTAAACAGCCAAGCATTAACCATACTGAGCCATCAATAGCATTAATTTCTTGGAATACTTTCTCTTTCCAGCATTTCAAAAGTTTCCTTCTACTATAACCTTATAGTTGCCTTGTAGATTTGTTTCTTCATTCATTCACATTTCTCTGTGTGAATTCTATTCTCCCCCTGCTTTTATACTAACTCCTAATGTTTTTGCAACTTTGTTTTCAATTCAACATTTTCTTTACTTTAGGGTGATTCTATTTACACAAAAATATAGTACAAAAAAACAAATGAGTAAATTAATATGGAAAACTGGACTCAGAAGGTACACTGTACCATGATAGGCCCTTGCATTAGCTAAAGCTAAACTGCTTTGCAGGAGTGGCTTGCTCTTTCAAATTATCCCAAATTATTGGAAACTTTAGCCTTATTTGTTGATAGATGAAGTTTCCTAGGCAGATTCCATCTGATTTGAGTAACTGTATGTGAGAGACACTATAGAACTGCTAACAGATTGTGTATATGCTGCATTTTCATCAGTGACCAAATCTGACCTTGGAAATGAAATGAAAACATACCAGATCAAACTCAACATGTTTTAAACATACATTTCTGCCTGTCCATACATTAAAAATTCAGAGGAAAAATATTTAAGGGGTAAATTATGTCTGCCAAATGTCTGAACAGCTGCCTTTAAATACAAGGACACAGGAGAATATGGGCATATGTGTTCAGCATAATATTTTCCCTAAAATGTATTTAATTATTCTATTTCTGATCAAACAAAAAAAAACCTGCAACAAAGTTTGTGGGATCATTATGGTGGAAAAGCCTTACGGTGTAATACTTATATTTTTCTCAACTTAAAGAAACTGTGAATATTTCAGAAACAAAGCGATCATATGAAATGAACTCTTTCTGCTCTCAAATTGTTTTGGAAGTAAGGAAATTTTGTTTAACCTTATTAATCAAATTTCTTTGTTTGACCAGCCAATTCCATTACCTGCTGAGAAGAGAAACTACTGCAAATTGATTGTTGCCATGTAGGGTAAACATTTGGATCAGCTTTATGATGAGTAAAGAGGGGAGATATTTATTAAAAAGAAGAACTGAAAAATGTGAGAACCACTGAGGAATTCCACTGAAAAGAGACTGGGGTATTCAGGACACCCTGGGAGTGATAAAATCAATCCTTAGATTGGGAACTAACAAAACATCCCCACTGCACCCAACATGGATGGCAGGAGGTTAAAATGCAGTAAAAACAAGCATATCTTTTTCTTTTGAATTACAGATGGACCTAGTACAATAGTTAAAATACAGTATTGCCCTTCTTATTTTGAGGAAGGAATAGGAAGAAAATCTAATATAATTGGCAGGAGTTATTCTTCACACACAGCTGTTGATTTAAGTGTGAATTTTTTATCTTGAAGAACAGGGAAAACAAATCAAAGAGAAAAGGGGCATGAGTAACTGAAATTAATAAAAGAGCAAACAAAAGAGAGTAAAAAACAGAAACATATATGAAACAGTAACATATGCATTGATAATTCACATCTGATCCATGGGTCTATTAGATTTTGCTATTTGTTTAAAATATTTCACTACAGCAAATGCTACTTTATGTAATCACTGTGGCATCTCTGCATATGTTCTCTACGAAGCGGACATGGATGTACTAAAATGTACTAAGGCTAATTCTTTGTACAACTCAATTTTTGTCATCAGTTTATCACCATGATGGTTATAGCTTTGCAAACATGAATAACAAATCATATTGGCTATTGGGTATGGCAAAGTAGTTGATGTGACTTTTGTCTATGTTGTACCTAGTGAGAAATAAATTTGATAGCTAGTTAAAATTAAAGACTATCGTATAAAATTTGTGAGTCAAGCCTACTTTTAGTTGTAGTATAAGGATAACGCTATACAGATAGCGCTGAGCATTAGTTAATAGCTTTACTTACTGATGGGAATTATGAAATACAAACTAGGAGTACTGAAAAACAGGTACCAAATGTTTCAAGAGAAAACGTTTTAAAAATAAACTGTGTTAACAGAAAATCAAATGATTATGGACAACCAAATCATCTTTTTTTCTGGGGGATCATATTCTCCAAAGCTTGTTTTGTAGCTTTTCACATGTCTGTAAACTTTTTTGCTAACCCAAAGTGCTTTTTCAAAAGACAACTGGACTTTGTTTTTTCTTGAAGATGTTTCGCTTCTCATCCAAGAAGCTTCTTTAGCTGTATGTGAAGCGAAGCATCTTCAAGAAAAAAACAAGTCTGGTTATCTTTTGAAAAAGCACTTTTGGGGCAACCATGATTGGGATGACTGAGAATCTCCATCGGCTTTTTTGCTAACCTTTTTTTAACCTGCTTTAGTACTTTCAGAAGCTTAGTTTAACTACTACAGTGATCATAACAGACGTTGGGTGAGGAGATGCAACATTGAGAAGGAGATGGAAGGGAAGTGGCTGTTCTTTGTGGTTCTAAATATCAAGGATTATCACGGAAGCATTTTTTTATTTTCCTCCCAACTTACAGTGAATGGAGTGAAGATGGCATGTGCATGTTGGATGAGAGTTTGTGATAGTGGTTTGTAGCATGAGGGGTTGGTGTGAGTTGTGTGAATGGTGTATATGAACAACTATGAGAATGTGGTCCATGTGTATTGTGAATGGTGTATTTTATTTATTTGTTACCTGCCATAACTGAATAATCCTCGGGCACTATCAACATAGATGTGTTTGCGTATGTATGAAATGTGTGTATATGTTGGCCTCTTGTTCTCTGAGCTTCTCAACTCAGAATATTCTCTGGGTTGCCCACATTCCTCATTAACTTGCAGTAAATCATACAAAACTCTAGCAACTGTTTGGCCAAAGGTTTTTTTGCTATAGTGATTGGAACTTTATCATGCTAAATCTTTAAAAGAGCTTTCTGCAGGGCTCACATCTTTTCTTCTGCCCTCTTCTCAGATCAAGAAAAATCACTGAAAGTTTATGGTTAGTTCTTATCCCTCTCTCTCTCTTCCTTTCATACATATGGATTTAAAGGCAGAACTTGGAATGATCTTGGAATGGGAGAAGCCTAGTCTGATATTTTTCATGGGGTATTATCTGCAAAAGCAGAATGAAAAGCTGCACAAATTGAGATGATGTAAGAGAAAGCTTGAGATTCTTGGTATTGAAACTATTTATGGACCAAAAAGCATAGGGGGTTTGTTACAAATTAAATTTGGATTTTGATGAGGGAAATGTTTTAGTACCCACAACAGTCAATTTGCATCTTGGAATAAATCACAAAAAGATAGCTAAAACAAAAGAAACATAAAGAAATGATAGATTAAAGCAAAAAAAAAAAAAAAAAAGAAATGTGAACAAAAGGAACTGACTGGTTAGATGGTGAGTCCAATCTCACCCTGCATCCAGTCCCTCTTTCTGGACCTTTAAAGTATCCAGATTAGATATATATTCAACAAAACAAAACAAAATTGAATTGGAACACATAGGAAATAAATTCTGCACATGAAACATTCAATAGCTTGCTTTACTGAAAATGTGATAGAAAAATCCAAGCCCTGGATTGGTCTTAAATGAAGATGAAAAATGTTGAACATTGTTTAAAGTCTTCTGAGCAAAACTGATTCAGATGATACATTTCATCAAGCTCAATTCAGCATGTCTTTCTACTTCTTCATATTATATTAGAATTAGAAAACCTCAGGTTATAATGGTGTCTCTTGAGAAGGAAAACAAATTAGACCAGCAGATGATAAAACTGGACCAGTTTGGAGCAGTTGAGTCATTAAGGACCTTGAAGTATGTTAAAACATAACATCCGGAGATTGCCTTTTTTAAAGCAACAGATTAGTTGAATAATTTATTTCCCTTTAAAGACTTTAGTTTCACTATTTATGTTTTTTTTTTTAAGGATAATCAAAATAATGTCTTCTTTTCAACTTGGACAGATTAACATTTTGAGGAAAAAAGATTCCAAAGTTGAGTTAATGACTCAATATTGCATACTGTCAAGCATAAATAGGCTATGTTGTAGGTATGTTGTGCACATCAGTCTTTGCCAAAAGTCACCACTAGATGACCATGGACCACTATGTAGACTGATTTGATAGAGTAATCCAGGATTTTCATCTGCACAGCTTCTATAAGACTAAATCCACAACAGTTAGAACGTTTCTGAATCTAGCAAAAATAAGCAGATCATTCTTCTCTCAAAAATTACATTTTTTTCATAATGCATTTTACCTCTTGGCCCATTTCCATACTGCAAAGTTTTATTGATTGAGCTTTGGCATCAACCATAACATTAAACATGGTGCATATTGACTGAGGAACTCGGAAATCTGTTGATCGGCTTGTTTTCTGTAGCTTTACTTCAAATGCAATCCGGGTTCTATGAAGCATGATTAAAAAAAAAGGAAGATGTTTGACTATGGTATAAATATACTGCATTAAATAATCCTTGTGATCAATGCAACACAATGTGAAGGCTTCAGAGCAAAGGACACCGCAGGCTGATGTGAAGGTCAGAAGAAAAAAGAGATGTTGGTCTGGCCAAGACTGTCCACAGGGTGTGATTAAAAAAAAAAGTTAAGATGGCAGCCATGGTGGTGTGGCCAAACTTTCACCTGTTTTCACTCATTAAAAAGGTGGAGCTTCAATTGAATCATAGTGATTGCTATCTTGACTTTTTGACCCACAGTTTGAGAAATGCATTGATATCCTGAGTGTCCTTCATAATGTTTCTTAAACATTATGTTTATGCAATTGTTTATTTATTGATTGATTACATTTATATGCCACCAATCTTACTGATAAAGTGACTCTGGGCTACTTGTGAAATAGCAAAAAGGTAAATATAAAACCAGTTAACATTAATAAGATTTAAATAAGAACTAAAAACAAGGAGATGGATGGCATGAGGGTGAGATCTTTTCTCCTATCCTGTCAACCACCTCCAGCCAGCAAAACCATATTTTTAAGGTCTTTCTGGAGCACCAGAAGAGTGGGGGCAGATCTCCCCTCCTGTGGCAGAATGTTCTAATTGGGGGCGGGGGGAGAACACTATGGAAAAGGCTCTTCTTGACTCCATCAGCCAAAATTCATCAATGGACACAGTTAGCACTGGAGCGAGCTGGGCAGGCCAATCCCACTGGGGCAAGATGGCTCCTCAAATAACAGCCAACACCTTGTGTTTGGTGGTATCAAGGAAATTGATTAGAGGGACATTTTACTTGGCTTCCACCTGTTTTGAAATCAATTTGGCGAACAATTTTTGTCACTTTTTTAGTCATACTCCTCAGACTGTTTCTAGTTCTATATCAAGAGACAAGAAAATCAGTAACTACCTTCCCATATTAATTAAACAGTGTGATGATGTTATCACGGCAAGCGATAAAAATGCATTCCTATAATATGATTGGTATTACCTAATCTGTAGCTGAAATATAGCAGGGACCACAAAAGAAAACCCACAGAATGAAAGGAAGCTGAGGAATGCTCTGTTTTAAGCACAACTTAAACAAGTCTATTAATTGGTTGACTGCACAGTGACTTTATATTTAATATTTTTCCCACAATGTTTCCTTGCCTGTTCTCTTCATAATTGTCACATAAGCAATTGTAAAACAGATTTTTTGCGCACAGACACACCAGCTCCATGGCAAAACATAAAAATGATGCAGAGCTCCACCAACCCTAATAAAGTTGCTCAGTTTAAATTTCATTTTCAAACATGACAAAATCGTGCGGCGAAGACAGAGTTTGTATAATTAGGAGCTCCCTGTTTATACTTTGGTTCTTCCTTGTAATCCCATCTTCTCTAGCAGTAACCCAAGAGACACAATGAAGTAAGGTAAACCCAGTCTCTTGCAAGTGGCTTAAGTGCATCAGATAACATGTGATGAAAGGTGAAAATGAGAAAAAGCACTCTTATTTGGGCAGTAAACTCATGTTTTCCATTTTGTGTAGTTCTGTTTGGAAGCAGAGTTAGGATTTGGAAAAGGCTGTCTGACAGAGAAGGTAGCCACCATTACTGATCTTTTCACAATAAAATTTATTTTTAATTCCACCTTTATTATTTTTATAAATAACTCAAGGGGATGAATATAATACTCCTTTCTCCTCCTATTTTTCCAACACAACAAGGGAATTGGGAGGAGAGAGAATGACTGGCCCAAGGTCACCCAGCCAGCTTTCATGGCTAAAGTGGGATTAGAACTCACAGCCTCCTGGTTTCTAGCCTAGTGTCTTAACCATTAGACCAAACTAATTTCTGAAAACTCTGTATCCCCCTAATCCAAAATGTAGTAAGAACTGGTATTTAATTTAGAGTTGGGCTTGTTCAAGCCTTAAAAAGATGGCCAAAGAACAATGTGTAAGTTCTAGCTACTAGGATCATTTCCATAAAGCTATTTTCATATTTCAACCCACCTCTTTACACAGGATTCAATCATATCACTAGCCATAAGTTTTAGTCGTTGTTCTAAGTGTTTCCCAAATTCTTCCTCAGGCCAGTGTAGATCCCTGATGAAGGTCTGTAAGGCATCTAATTTCCAAAACAGATCTTCTGATGTTCCTGATCCATTGCTGCCAGGATAAAATGAAAAATAAGAAACAATCAGGTTACAGCAGGCTCACTGATTTTGGAATCCTGATGTGGAGATTGTTCTTGCACACATGGAACGGAGTGTAACAGTGACCGAAGACACAGAACAATGCCATGGGGAATCTCCATCATCAGGCTTGTAGTGTTTTCTAGTCTACCTATCTCTTACAAGTCTTTCCAGATCAGACGGAGAAGACAAGTCATGTAAGAAATGGACATTCATCTGGAAACACTGCGTATGGGAAAAAGAACTCAGCCCTTTTCAATAACCACATTTCCTTCTGTAGTTGTTGAACTGAAGGCTCTACAAAGTAAAGGGACATCTCTATTTGATAATAACCGCACTACACAATTGCGTGCGGTTATTTTTAAGTTCCATGCATTCTATTTTCACAGATTGCCAGATCTGTTCTCTTTCCTTTTCTCCCCCACTTCCTTTATCGCAAGGGTTTCGAGGGAGAAAAAAAATAGTGCTAACAAGTGGTGAGCGAGGACATGATTTTTGAACAGCTGGAAATAAATCAGGGCAAGGCAATTAAATTATTCACAACGAGACATTTTTAAAAACTTAGCTCAGAAAGGGTTGAATTTACTAACCAGTTGACCTATTTTTGTTTTTGAAAAAAAATATTTTGGAGAAGAAGGGATCAATATACTTCACCAGGTTTCTGTAAGGTTTTTGTTTTGCTCCGTTTTGTTTTTTTATTCAGATTTTTTTCATATATTTGGAGCTATCCTGTCTCGCTGCTGTTAGACTTCTGTTCAGCTAAAATTATGCCTAACGCCTCCACTCACAAGGTAAGTTTTACATTATGTTTTACGCTGAGAAATTTATATATCTATTTATTACCTTTCTTCCTTCCTTTTCTTATTTTTTTTCCCATAATGGTTATGACCAAGGAAGCTTCAAGACATTATTCCCACTCCTCGCATACCACTAATGCTAACACAGTGATTGATATTTGACACACCATGCATTGTCATGTCACGCTGATATCGTCTATAGAAACAAATGAGGAAGAGTGTTTCTATTGTAACCGATGCCAGCTGCATTGAATTAATGCTACAGAAGGGAAGATAAAGCTAAACGCACACGTGGAAACCATATTCCCAACATGCCAAGGGGCACTTTGAATCCTAGGCCAACAAAGGTAATTATTCAAACAATGCACTGACTTAGTTGTAGAAAACAGACATATCCATATAAAGGTGGGTGGGTGGGTGAAAATACCGAAGCATGTTCCTAAATGGGTAGAAAGGAACTGGAATCAATGAAAAGATAGAGAATCAGGCATTTTCTTGAAGAACTGACCATCAAAGAAATACTATCGCATACAGATAGTCCTCAACTTGTGACCAAAATTGAGCCCAAAATTTACGTTGCTAAGCAAGAAATTTGTTAAGTGATTTTTGCCCCATTTTATGATTTTTCTTGCCACATTTGTTAAGGGAATTGCTCTAGTTGTTAAATTAGTAACATGGTTGTTAAGGGAATCTGTTTTCCCCATTGGCTTTGCTTGTCAAAAGTTTGCAAAAGGGGATCACATAACCCTAGGACACTGCAACCGTCATAAATGTGAGCCAGTTGTCAAGCATCAAAACGTAAGTCAGGTGACCATGGGGATGCTGCAACGGTTGTAAGTGTGAAAAAGGGTCATAAATATTTTTTTTCCAGTGCCGTTGTAACTTCGAATGGTTACTAAACAAACTGTTGTAAGTTGAGGACTACCTGCAGATAGCAGTCAGAAACTATCATTGGTTTGGGTTAGTTTCAGCTTCTTCTGCTTCAGATATACATTTGAAAATGTTTAGCTTTTTTCTTTTTAAAATCCATTCTAATCCTCCTTTTGGAAACAGAGTGCTTTTGTTTGAAGCAATTAGGTAGCCAGGAATGCAATAACGGTTACTTATTATTACGACAGGATGATACCCCTCTGCTTCTAGAAATTTCAAATAAAAAAAAGAATGCTAGGTTGTTTTTGGATTTTCCTTTTCAAGAGCTCCTTGGATTTTTAAAAGAACAATGAGAAAAGCCTGATTTCAGACTGGGAAGTTTAGTGGCGTATTCAGCAGCGTTCAGCTTCACATGGCTGCTCCATTGCAATGGCTGGGGCTGTGAGCTCAAATATCTGTCCTCATGAGTATGTGTCATTTTCAGTGAGACTTACTTTGAGGGAGCATGTCTAAGATTAAAGCCTTGATTCTTATCTTTTCAAAAATAAAGTAAAATGGAACAATATCACACAGCATGCACAGAGCAAAGTAGGTTTTTTTTCAATTTACATAGACTGCCTAATCTAATCTAACCTTTCATAAATCAGCTTAACATGAATATGAATTGCAAACATTTTTTTTGAACAGCTACTCATTTCATTTGCAATTTAAAATCATTGTGGTTTGAAAAAAAAATCTCAAGTTGGAAGTTTAAAAATGGATTCCTGTTCCTGAATGATTGTTAAAAAAGAAGAAGCAATCTTTTTCAAAGTAACATTCTTATTATAATTTGACTTTATTATCATTTATTGCCACATGGGGAAATTTGATTATGATCAGAATATGTTGTAAGTTTTAAAAAAATATTAACAAAAGATAGAGTGATGGTGATTGACTAGATTGAGTTTGAAAATGTCAGTTGAAAAGATACATTTCCTCTGAGCAACATTAAATGTCCCAGTCGGGACATCATAATCACTTTGTGATTTTTCTGAACCATAGCTTGTTGTTGTTGTACATAATACAAAGACATAAGCTTGGTTTGATGTCACAAGGGTGCACTTCTACATCATCTTAATTTAAACACTGAATAAACCATGGTTTGTTATTCCAGCCATTATTTGCCTGCAAGAGAATACATATGCACGATGGCTACCTTGTGACTGAAAACAATAATAATAAAATAATAATATACAGCTGTTATTAACTTTATTTCTGAACTGGGGGATTCTTATTTCTAGCATTATATTTCTGCTGGTCCTTACAAATGAACAAATACACTGACACAGATATGCCACCAAAAGCAACTTTAAAATGTGCCAGATACCTCTGTCATGATGCATGACAAGAAGGGATCCAGAAAATGACATTTCATTACCATGCATGTAAAAATAAAACAAATTGTTTACAAAATTGTCATCCTGTATCCCTATTTCCTTTTGTGTGCATTTGTCTGGTGAAAGAAAGAAAGAAAGAAAGAAAGAAAGAAAGAAAGGAAGAAAGAATGAAAGAAGAAAGGAAGGAAGACACAAAGAAAGGAAGGAAGAGGGAAAGAAAGAAGGAAGAAAGGAAGAAAAGAAAGGAAGAAGAAAGGAAAGAAGGAAGGAAGGAGAAAAAAAGAAAGAAAAGAAAAGAAAGGAAAGACAGAAAATCTTAGCATTTCCTACTTGGAAGAACAAAGATTTCCTGCAAATGAGGAAATGTATTGTGGCAACATTAAAAAAAACAACAACAGAACTTTGATATCCAATATTTGTCCAGAAATAATTGGCTCCATTGTTAAACAAAGCTGATGTTTGTAATCACAGAAATTCAAAACTCTTTTTAGTAGCAGATGCAGAGATTTCCAAGGAAATGTCCTGAGTAGACTATGTAGAATATGCTGATACAGATGTCAGTAACGCTAGTGGCGTAGTTTGAAAATAATCATTTATGTTATAATCTGTAGGGTCCATGGGCAAGTAAACCGTTGTGACATCTTTTCTGGATTCCATCTTTTTTTTAAAAAGTGCATGGAAGAACAGTATTTTAACAATAATAGAGGCAGCAGGACTGGGGAGAGATGGTTTTAATCTCAGGCTATTTAAAATACAAAAATGTTCTCCATATTGAGATAATCTCTTCCCTTTTGCCAAGATGAACTATAATTTCCACAGCCAGAGATGAGGAGTTACCCTCTTGGGTCAGTTTGCTCACCCACAGAATAAAGGTTAATTAACTATGTTATTGGAATCATTAGGACCCCATGGCAATTCAACATAGGCCACACGTGTCAAACTCGCGACGTCATGTGACGTTGCACGATGTATCAGAACTTTTTCTCCATTGCCAGCGGTTTTGTCATGACACATGTGGCCCGCAGGCCGGCAGTTTGACACACCTGACATAGGCCATCGGTTTGCTCTCCAGATGTACAGGACTTCAATTCCCACTATTTCAAGCCAGAGTGAACTTTGACAGTTGAGGTTCAACACAGAGAAGGCTGTGATCATTTTGTTTCCCATGTAGCTATAGGACTAATGTGACTGATTATTATCCAAGATAACCTGGGAAAATTAACTAAACAAGAATAATTGGGCTAAATTTATATTTTCTAGAGGCCTCCCTTCCAAAAATGAGAAGATTTTTATTATTCTGGACAATCATTCAGAAAATTAGGAACGAAACAAACAAAAACAGATTTTAGATTCTGAAGTAGTTAGTGAGAACCATCTCTCTCTTTTTGAATGCATAATGTTTTGTTTTTTTTAGACCCCCCCAATACATATTTCTTGCCTCACATTTAGAAATATATACGACCGTGGGATCCTGGAAAGACCAATTTTAACCAGAAAACAGAATTTTTTTAAAAAAAGATCTTTCAGTTTCGTTCAGTTTTGTCAAATAATACGAAAATGCCCATTCTGCCCAATTTCAAGGCCTGCTGTCCACCTTTCGGGAGATTTGCAGTAGGCACATGTCAATTAAGGCAGCTCCTGCAATATTTCTCTTTTCAGATCTGTTGATTCGAAATGAACAATTCATATTCATGCCAAGATTTATTTATTTATTTGCTTGAAATGAGATCTCTTGAACTGAATACACACTCAGCATCATAGATAGCCGCCATCCATGACGGTGCAGAAAAGGCAGGCATTTGAGGAATGCCTAGTGGGATGTTAACTGGTAGATTTGGAACTTTGGGGAGGTTCACATTTGGTAGGTTCACATTGGGCAGATTACTTGTTAAGCTCCTGTGGAAGAAACAGACAGAAAGGAAAAAAATACCATCACGGTGACGATGCTGATGCGGCAGAAGCACAGTGGAACTCAGAAAGAAATCTGCAAAGTTCACAGCAAGACAACAATAAAAAAAAAACCCAAACCAAAAACATTTCAGAGAGAAGCATGAGTATGGAAGGCTTTAAGTGTGGGGATTAAGGGCTTTGCGTTATTTCAGCACTCTGCAATCACAAGTTGCTAAAACAAAAAGAGAGAGAAAAGAGACTGCAAGGACAAAAACAAAAGAAGGGACATTTATAAAAGAGCAACTTAAAACATTGATACAGAAAGACAGAACTTAACTGTTACCACATTTTAAAAACTGTAGAGTTTAACTAGGTCTTAGATGAAAGACAAGGAACACAACTCAAATGATTTTAAATGATCGGCATGTAGACTTGAAAGACAAAATGGCACAGCTATGCTAAAAAAAAAGTCTAATAGGACTATTTTGTAGATTTGGTTTAGCAAGTGAATATATGGCCAGGATTTTTCTCTATGTAGGCATTTTATTCCCAACACCATACATTTTATATGCCATAGGCAGGTCCCATCCACGTGAGGTGGGTGGCCATATAAAATCTATTTAATAAAACAAACACATAATAGAGTGGCAACATATGGGATAGGGACCTGCCTATGACATATCCCATATCCATACAGGGAAGGCCTTCCCAATAAAAAATGGGATTCCCTGTTTTTCAGTTCAAAGCTTTCTTTTCCATTCAAACAAACAGAAAATGTACATATGCAGGTGATCTTGGGCCTCCCTAAGCAATTGCTATGAACAATTTATTGGCAAAGCTATAGGACTCCGCTGAAGGGCAAAATTGGTCTCACTCACATTGGAACTGAGCAACTATGAATCTGGAATCGACAATGACTTGGTGGCACATGAACAAACCAATAAATCAAATCTTTCTAGATATTATGGGCCTCATAATATAGCACTGTACAGAGACTTTGGAGAAATTGTACAATTTTAAGAACCTAGAGGAGTGTGTAACTTTTATAACAAAATTGCAGATTCAAAATCCATGTTGGATGAAGTACATGAGGAATTTGATGGGCTTCCATAATTTGCAAATGGAAGCATGCAGTCTAATCTTGTGCATATTGACTCAGAAATATTTTGCTTTGAGTTGAATCACAATTATGTCCAAGTACGTTGACAGGAGAATGGGCTGCACAGAGAATATTATATATGTTTGTTCAGATCAAAGGAGTATCTACTATTCATAAATAAATATACAAAATATTTAACTTATTTTCAAATGTACAGCAAAATAGCATGAAATTGACATTGCCATGAAATCTAGACTCTGTGCAACAAATCCTGATACCAACAGAAGAAAATATTTATTTCTTTGCTTCTGCTTCCCCACAGCTCTATTCTGATCTTCAGAAGATTATGCAAACATTGTTTCTCTGTAGTTGTTGACAAAAACTTGGTGAATGCATCTAATATCTTATAGGAGCTCACTTTGATTAAGTGAGCGATTATTGAACATATATACCACTTCAATCAGGATGACTCTACAGTGTACAGCAGTGTTCATCAAGTTTAAGATGTGTGGATTTCAACTTCCAATATTCCTCAAGCTACATGCTGGCTGGATAATTCACACATGCTGAGGTTGACAAACACTGGTGAACAGTATACTGTACATTCCCCCAAAACACCACTATGCAAAATAAAATAGATTGAAAATCTCTGCACATAATACTCTAAATGCTGAGACGAATAGTCTGCTGAGTTCTAGTCTTCTGGACATATCTAGCGCTAATGAATTAACTCTTTGTTTCTCTTCAACATCAAGTCTTCACTTGTAGTGTGTAGACTGGCTCACAAATTGGATACAACTTGCAAAGAAGCTGTCATTCCTTAGTTTTGCCCAACATAGCAGTTAAGCTTAGAAGGAAGGCAGAAAGAAAGAAAGAAAGAAAGAAAGAAAGAAAGAAAGAAAGAAAGAAAGAAAGAGGAAGGAAGGAAGGAAGGAAGGAAGGAAGGAAGGAAGGAAGGAAGGAAGGAAGGAAGGAAGGAAGGAAGGAAGGAAAAAGGGAAAGAAAGGAATAAAAATAGAACTAATTATATGAATATGAAAGAAAGTGTGAGAGGACCTGGGATAATTTGTATTATGCTGACTGATTATGCTGAGATAATTCTGATTATATTCTCACTTTCCTCCCAGACCAGCAAATTTTACCAAAGGATTTTTTTTCCCCTCAAGGAATGGGAAACTTGGGAGAAAGGGATTGCCTATTCCTATAGAAAATTGCAAATATATGTGAATGTTCATCTTTAGGGTGAACACTAAGTCCATAATCTTAGGTTATCGATGTTTTCTGCAATAAGATTTGATTGATTTTCCCTTTGAACATATTATGATTTAATTAAGGTGAAATTAAATTACAATTAACCTACACATTATAGACTAGGCTCACTACTTCAAAAGATGCCACAGACATAGCCACAAAACAATAACCTTGTAAAAAGGAAATTTTCATGTGGTATTGATATCTAGAAATACATTCTCTGAGCATTATTACTATGCTAACAGGAAACAAACATTTGAAGACATAAACAGTGCTCACTGAGGACAGCTGGCTACAGCAGACATATTCCAGCAAAGACAGTAAAAAAATCACATATCATCCATCTCTTATATGAAATAAAATGATTTAAGTACCATCTGCCCAGTTTAAGAGAAGCAAAACTCCTATCTATCTTGCTATATTTATATATTATCTGTCATACTATGTCATTAAGAAATTAGTTTTAACTTCATTCTGAAAGCCAGTCTAGACAGAATCATATTCCAAATTATTAATCTATGTTTATGTACTTTATAATTATTTCAGAGTAGCAAACACTTCGCAAGCTTGGTTTATTTTCCTCTTTAATTGCATCAGTTTCCTGTCCCTATGTTAAAAAAAAATAGTAATTTGACACTGGAGAGACATTATAAATTCTGCATTTCGCCTGAAATGGCACATTGGGAGGGAAGGGGCAACAATACATAGTGACACAAAGAAACAATTCCCATGTGCAAAAAAGAAACATATTCTACATTGAAATTAAAAATAAAACAACTCTGGCCGAACATACCATTTTTCCCACTGATTTTCAGGGATCCCAACCATTGTATGGAAACAGATATAAATTGGTTTAGCATCAGAATTTACTACAGTGAACCTTTTAAAAAGACTGCTTCAAATCATGTTTGTCCTAGAATGTTGTCTTTAACGCCTTCAACTTTTTGTGCTATAAATTGGATATATCATAGTTGGACCATTTTTTTTCAGTTTTCTTATATGTAATACAAAATAGTCATCATTAAGTGGAAATCTCCTACTCCTACCATAATCACAGTTAAAGGCCTTAAACTTGACCCTGGTGGCTGATAATGACAGTAACTGAGAAAATGCAGGCTACTCTGAAGAGTCTTCCGCAGCAACAACATTTTCAAAAATCTTTTTAGCTCCTTCTACCTAGTTCAGTGTTTTGCAATCTATGTAACTTTAAGATATGTGGACTTCAACTCCCAGAAGTCCCCAGTCAGCTTGCTGGCTAGGGAATTCTGGGACTTGACATCCACCCATCTTAAGGTTACTCAGGTTGGGAAACACTGATCTTGTTTATCCATTGCTTTTCATTTCTACTTCCTACAATTTTGTTAAGTATAATATTTTTTAGTCCATTACCTGCTCATTACACATTTCCCAAGTATGTGAGTTACTGCTCGCTGATGATCACATCAAGGAAATAATCTTTATTTCATCCAGGATTGATTTTATCTTTTTAGAGTCCATGATACTTACGATAATTGGCTCCAAATCTATAAGATCTATCTTCTTTCTCTTCCTCTTTCTCAGAATCCAACTTTCAAGACCTACTACATCACTAAAAAAAGTCCTATTTTTATATACTGTTATCCTTCATGGTCTTGCCGAAGTATACTCTTTATCTAGAAGAGCATTAAAGCATGGTTATATACTGTATAATCTTCACTTTTGACCATCAATGAAGAATGCAGACTGATGTTACTTTTGCCTACCGGTACTTCCAAATTTACATTAATCCAGTTTTTTAAAAAACTTTTGAGTTCTTACTTTAAATCTTCACTGCTACATAATGATGCTGCCTGCTTTTCTCAACTTGTTCATATTTCAACCTCTGACATCGATTCCCATTGTGATATTTTCCAATCCTGCCATTCTTATACTTTAGTCACTGTTTAAGTTAAATGGATATGGGGACCACATGCATCTTTGCCTCATTTCCTTCCCTAACAGGAACATCTCTGTTCCTCCAAATTCAATTTTTATAACGGATTCCTATTTACTGTTCACATCCCTTAGGGGAAAAAAAAAATCAAGTCTTCTGGTATGGCCAATGAGACTTAATATATATCACACCCTGGCAATATCTTCATAACGAGCTGGTACAACCAGTGAAGGGAGGATGAACTTGCTTTTATTTGCTCTCTCTATTCATCCTCTATTACCCCCTGTTCTGCTGCCCCTTTGCTTTCTCTAAAACAGGTCCATTGATTTGGCATTTCTCTTTCCACTGATGGTCCTATTCTTCCATTGTTAGATATTAAGTAAACTTTGTTTGAATAAAGAATAAGGGCAATGCGTCATTCATTTGTATCTCACTTCTTTGTTATTGGCCTAGACCAGGGGTGTCAAACTGCCGGCCTGTGGGCTGGATGCATCATAGCGAAACTACGCCCACTCCATTGCCGCCAATGGCAAAAAAATCACAATATGTCGTGACACGTCATGTGACGTTGCAAGTTTGACACCCCTGGCCTAGACAATGATGTTTCCCAGGCCACAGAAATTTGTTACATATTGTGTTCCTCTTTTAATTAAGGTCACAATATAAAACTACAGAAAAGATTCAGGAGTAAGAATTAAAGCATTAAAATTGATGAAAAACTAGATAAAACTTGCTGTTCCTTTG